CTTGAACACTGTCCTGACGTCAGGACGGTGGCGCTACGGCTATTGGGCCAACTCCACCAATCAGGAGGAGACAGCCACGGCCATTGCCGTTCGAAAGCGCTGGAGACGCTGTAGTACATATGCCAGGCCTGTAGGTGGTGCTGTTCTCACTGAATCTGCCCTTGTAAAAACAGAGCTAAAAAATGTCAAATTGAGCAAAATGAGGCATGGCTAAAATGCATGATCTGTTTGGTATTTTGAAAAAAAAAAAGTATAAATATGCCTTATATAGGTATGGTCCTACACTATATTATTCAAATATAGCATGATAGGTCCACTTTAATGTCAAAATAATTATCTCTAAGTAAAAAAGAAATGTAATAATGGGACCATTGTCAATATAACAACTAATGTCTATGGAGTTGCTGTTTGTTCTTAAGCTTCTCAACATTTAAACATATCTTTACATTTATTTTCACTATCTCTGTAAAGCGTCTGTGAGCACCTGTAAAAGCACTAACAAAATTAATCTATTATTATTATTATTATTATTATATATTTGCCTCCTGATTTTTCCCATCAGCATTTCACTCAGACTAGGTAAATCAATCTGGCACTTTTACACTTCAGACTGCCTCTTTAGGAAAATAGTGAACATGACCTGTCATACCGAATTATTATTAAATGTTACGGTATGGGTAGATCAAAATCCAGTTCATTCTCCCCACTGGTTATTAATAAATCAAACACCTACATGTGCTTTTAGTCTACATCTTGTCAAGTGAATTGACTAGTAAGGAGCTAAATGTGTGTAGCATCACACAGGACTGATAACATCAAAGAAGAAACAACATCAAACGGTCCTCAGAGATCAAAAGATTAACATTTAGCTTTTAAATTCATGCAAGTGTTAAATATTCATATCATATTTCCTGTGATTTGCCTGCATTTCATTCACATCATAAATCAACAGCTGACAGCATATCACCTTTTTCAATGTGACTCAATGTGAATCTGTTACTGCACCAGTTCAAATATTTTGCACTCACCAAACCAAACAAATTAGATTAAAAGTAATGTCATATTTTGGGTAGGATGAACCAAATAACGCCGTAAGGAGTCTTGGGAAATAATCTTTTTGTCATTGCAGGAAATATACAGACTGTACACTTTTATAATCTTATTTATTTATAAGGGCTTTTCACCCAAATGCAACAAAAATAAATGCTTTCAAAACAACTTAATATCAGGGAACATTCACATGAGGATTATAGGCGCTCACTGTGAGGTATGTGGATCAACCAGAGTCATTGGGATACTGATTATGGAAACTGAGCTGTATTGAAAGTTTTTCCTAAATTAGAAGCTTCTTTTGAGATGTCTGTTTTTATTATTTATAGTTAGTTATAGTGTGGTTATATACATTTAACTTATAGTGCTGATGCGCGCCTGCCTATGCATGCAGCAGGAAGGAAAGCAAACCGTTTTTAAAAAGCAATACAAAAATTGGGATTTAGAGACACATATCTCAAAAGCTTGGTTAATGTATTTGGTGATTTGTATGAAACAACCCATTGACAGAGCATAATGGTCAAGTATTTGTGCATGTGTGAGTTGCAACTGTATACACTGTAAACTGATTCAGTGTGTCAAAACTTACCGTAGCTTCATTGCAAACGCCACACTTCACCACGTGCTGGTGGATCTTTCCCTCCACAGAGATCAGGCTCTGACACACCCTGCAGCTGATCACAGGAGCACTGCCACTCTCTGGGGAGGTGAGAGGGGAGTAGGGCGGAGGGTCCTCCCCAGGAGCACAGAGGGCTGAGTGGGGCTGGGGAACGGAGGGAAGCCTGCACAGGGACGGATAAAAAGTAACAAATAGAACAGTGAATACAAAAGTAGTACAGCCAGTGACATATGATCGGATTGTTGAGGGGAACAAATCAACAAGAGTTGCACAATGGACTGAAATTCACATGACAAGTAACAGCTTACATTAGGATTAATAAGATAATAAGATTTGGTCTCGAGGTGTACTGAAAGGAGCTTTAGAAGAAAAAACACTCCTGGAATGCTGAGCGGGTTAATTTCAACAAGTAAGAGTCTAAGTACTAGTGAGAGACCCGAAAAAAATACAACAATGACGAGAGAAAGGGACAGTTTCAGTAAGATGCAACTTAGCAAGCAGACTGAATAAAGCACTTCATAGCAGCTAAACACAATTAAGGAGCCATAGCTCATGCTTTTTCCATAATGTTACACACAGGCCCTCCCTTCATGAGCTGCCATTGGTTGAAGCTCTCTCTTGCAGCATCCCTTTTCAGCCTCCTTACTGGCTTTCTCATATGTCAATCAAATCAGGTGTTTCTCAAGATGCTAGCTAGCTAGGTGGTACTGTTATCTAGCTTGCGAGCACCGTGGGCATCATTCAACTATTGGAAAACACGCAACAATAAGTGTCAAGAAACGTTAATAAAATATATGTGTGCTGTTCTTTTTCTGAGCTGCAAACTTCATATTATGCGCATGCCGGTGCTAATTGAGCTAGCTAACAAGCTAATATATAACGGTTGCTAGGTTAGCTAGTTAGCACAAGGCTGATTCCCTTCTGCTTCACGTCCTAATAACACAAAGTCAATCACATGTTATCCCCCAGGAGATGCTCATTAAGATATCAAGCTTACATTATACCCGGCATTAACACAGTGAGAATAGGCTGGTTCAAACAGCTGAGCTAGCAGGCTTATACATGTTCATTTAACTGATCAACGTTTTACCTTGTTGTTGTGATATCTTCTTTTAACAGTTACCTATACAAAAGCATTTTTAATGTAACTCTTATCTGTACTGTCCTGTATTTCACTCTTACTCTGTTGCTGCTTTAACACCTGAATTTCCCATCAATTAAGGTCCATCTTAACCAGAATGCCCTGTCAGTGGATGCTAAGCTAGGCTAGCTGGATATCCCTCTGCTTCTCATCCTGATAACAACACAAGGAAAAGCTCCATGGAGACTCACTCTGAGGTTTGTTCGGTGCACCGTAAGGAGCGGCACCGGGAGACACCCCGCCGTTACCGCTGACAAGAGCACCATCTCCCAGATCCGATAGTAACGGGGACCTCTCGCCGTCCGCCATACCGAGAGCCGGGCGTGGGGAGGGGGAGTGGGAGCGTGAATGCAGACCAATACGGTGTGTATTGTTGTGTCGGAAACGCAGGCGTCACATGATCACACCACCAGTGCTGCTGCTGCGGTAACGGGACCGGGGGGCGGGGCTTAGATCACCCGGGAATGGGATGCTGTTTAGGTTTTAATCAGAGGTGGGAGAAGTACTCAGATCTTGTACTTAAAGGTCACCTATTGTGCAAAATCCACTTGTTCATGTCTTTTATACATAAACATGTGTCCCCTCTGTAAGAGATTCTGAATGTTTCGGGATTAAAGATTCACCCACTTTTTATCCTGATCCATTTATATAAAAACCTGTCTGAAAATGAGCTGATCAGATTTTGACCACTTTATGATGTCATAACGATTTTTTGGCTTGTGTAACCATTAGCCAATAACTTTATCACCTGAATCTCCTCCTAGAGCACCATTGGGTTCTTTTTAACCAAATATCTCTCAGAGGGGCGTGGGGAGTGGCTCCTTATTTGCATCTAAAGTAACAGACAGAGAATCAACACTTTTGAAACAGGGCTGAAACAGAGGGGATTATGGGATGCTGCAATGATCTGTTTGGTATTTGGAGCCAAACACTTCAGAGACTTGTTCTGTATATATGTGAGACCTATAATATATTGATGAAAAACAGTATAAATGGGGACCTTTAAGTTAGAGTAGATGGTCAGAGTGTTGGAATACTCTGTTATAAACAGTGGTGTAAAGAAACTAAGTACTGAAGTAAGTACTGTACCTACTGTAAGTACGCATTTGAGGGACTTAACTTACTTGATTATTTCATTTGTTGCTACTTTGTACTTCTTCTCCACTATAATTCAGAGGTAAATCATGTACTTTTACTCCACTACATTCATTTTGTACCTTTAGTTACTTTACAGATTTGGATTAATGATGTGAAATATAATCAACTCTTAAATCAGACTTTAGTTCCACCTGGAGTAAATTCACAAGCTACCCTGCAGTATACAAAGTCATTCAAACTAGCTGCACTTTTACCAGCTCTGATAACACTTTAATTATCAATAATTATAATCAAAACATAAAATATATTATATATGCATAATGAGTTATTTTACGTTTGGTACTTTAAAGGTAGGGTAGGTAAGTTTGAGAAACCGGCTCGAGATACACTTTTTGTTATATACCATGGAATGCTCTTAACATCCCGATAGCAATGAATATCTTAAGTGCTTTGACAAAAAATCCATAACAAAATTTCATCAGTGGAAGCCGTAATACTGTAAAAAGTACGACCAATCATTTTAGCCGGCCCGACTAAAATAACTGTTCCATCTGTGCACAAACTTATCTCGTGCCCTCATTGGTCATGTGCGCGTTCGTGTGTGTTGGAGGAGGGGCTCTATAAGGAAGTGGCAGATTTTTTCCGGTTGTGTATTTTCAAATTCTAGCGATCTCGAGCCGGTTTCTCAAACTTACCTACCCTACCTTTAATTATATTTTGATGCCAGTACTTTTCTACTTTTACTTGAGTAACCTTTTGAATGCAGGACTCCAGAGTTAATAAGGTCTCAGTAGTCCAATTCAGAGGGCATCTTCCTAATGAAAACGACTAAATCATTTCTAAATAAACACGCACGCATGCATGTAAATATTGTATTAAATGGCTGATTTTAAAACTATTATTTAATGTACGGCTTTCCCCTCATAGGCCCACTTTTCAAAATCAGTTTGCAATAGCAGCTATGATTATACCATTCACAATAAATAAGGTATCAGCCAAAAAAATGATGGATGAACCTTTGCATTACCAATAAAAAAAACATCACATTATAAGACACAATGCTTATTAAAAAAACATATTTTATTACTCATGGAATAAAAGGAGACATATGTAGAAAACAGCATTAAAATATACATCAATCTTCTTTACGTCTCTCAAATACGTGTTGGCTGTAGTCACTCGTTCTTAAGGCATGTTGATAAAATCCATGGGTCGTTTGATCAGTAGAGTCACCTCCAGTTCCTCCCTCTCACTGAAGAACTGAGCCTTTCCCTCGTGGCTGTGGATCGGATGTGGGAGATGAAGACCGAGTTTACTGAAGAGAAAAAAGACAGGTTAAAGGGAGAATCTGAGAGGAGGAGGATGTTAAGAGCGGTGTGAAACGGCAATCAAAGCTCAGATCATGACGTGAACCTCTGATTAAAAGGAAATGTCTGCTAATGGGAGCATTTGGTCTGAACTGCTGCTGCTCCGTCTTGAGGGGATTCAAATTGAAAGAGAACATTTTCAAAGCATCCCTTACTATTTAAGTGTCCGCAGATCAAGGAACTTCTCTTTTACATCCAGGACCACATCTGTTGCTTTAGTGTCTGGTAGTTTGATTTTCACCTATGAGTGGGAAAAAGTCAGCATCATTAATATTGTACACAGTTTGATCTTCATGGGGAAAGAAAACAAAATTCTACTTATGTAACGTTGTCTAAATCATATTCTCACTCTTGTTTATCATTACTTAAACTATCTAAGGTTGTTACATTACTGTAATTTAGTTTCTTGATCTGTTTTGGTGGAGAAAAAAATTGATTTTCATTGTCTTTATTTAACTCTGGTCAGATTTTCCAAACAGTTACACTTACTCTGTCTTGTTGTGCAGCTTAACAGTTTAATTGTAGGCTCCTTAACACTTTTTATACCCGGCATTAAGTTTCAAATATGTTTATTAGTGTTTGAGTCTGAAATGATCTATTTCTTATAATGAATTATCCAAAACGACCCCACCCTTGGCAATGGGAGAGCCTGTTATATAGCCTGATAATGTGTCTCCTGCTGCTGACCCCGAATACATCCTTGAAAGCTTTCTTATTTTTCTGTGTCAAAATAAGGACATTGAGTATAAAAAAATGATAAATTACCAGCATTGATTCACAGCACATGGAGGATGGGTTTTTTCCATTCAAGCCAAGGAAGATATCCTCTGTTCCGACACTCTGCTTCAGGATTATTTCATACCTGAACACAAAGGTAATACACACATAAATGTAACAACTCTGCAGCTCATCAAGAATGCAGCGGCTCATATGGTCTTCAACCTTCCTAAATTCTCCCACACCACACCGTTCCTCCGCTCCCTTCACTGGCTTCCAGTAACTGCTAGAATCCACTTCAAGACACTGGTACTAGCGTACCATGCTGCGAATGGATCTGGCCCTTCCTACATTCAGGACATGGTTAAACCATACACCCCAGCACGTGCACTCTGCTCTGCATCGGCCAAACGGCTCACTGCACCCGCACTACGAGGGGGGAAAGTTCCCATCAGCATGATACATGATTCTGTTTTCTTCAAGTTTGTATCTTCTTGGTCGAATGCACTTATTGTAAGTTGCTTTGGATAAAAGCGTCAGCTAAATGCAATATAATGTAATGTAATGTAACATGACATTAGACTAAATCAACAGGGCATTAACCAGAAACGGAAAACAAACAGGAAGGAGCGGGCACTGAGGGTCAGCTGAGGTCAATGGAGAGGGAACATTCATATATTCAACCTTTATCACTTTAGTCATCATTGATTGTATTTATTTTTTATAAAAAACTAAGAAAAGACACATACTAACAGAAGCGAGGCAATGCCATTACAATATTCAAAAAGCCATTAAAATCTTTTGATTAGGAAAGAAGACCTAGAACTTAATAATTAGGATAAATAATTTGTAGGATAAAAATACAATTATTTAAATGAAAAACGAAATACATTTATCGAAACAATTACGAGTACAGTTCCAGAGGTTTAAACATGTTTTGGGGTTGATTTTAAGCTGGTGCTGTATACATTTTGTTTCATGTTCCCTTAAATCAAAAGCAGTACAAGGGTAATGACAAAGCCAAGTATAAAGTAATACTACAATAAAGTTTAGAATAAAGAAGGGAGGTAATCTCAATGCATTGGATGGTTTGGCCTTTTGGTTTTAAGGTTGAATTAAACTAAAGAAGAATGAGGAAAGGTGTAATCCTTGTGAGGGTGTTGCCAGTGTGTGTCCCCTTTAAAGCAAGGGTGTGTTTGTCTTCTGCCTTGCAGTCTTACTCAGGCTGTGGGCGCGGGTCATTATCGTCTTCATACTGGCAGCCCTCAGCCACCTCTTCCTCGCTCCAGATATCTTTGCTGTTCTTCTTCACATAGGCAGTAGACACTAAATACACATAGATACACATGAGCAAATGTAGTTTCATCAAGGCACATGAGTAAGTATAATGACGTTGGGGTTCATTTTTAGAAGTTAAGTATAAGAAGAAATATTAAGCATTACCTTCTTCATCTGTTTTGGATGGGGGACCAACTTGTCCAGGACCAAGCCGGGCACAAGCGTTGATATTCTGTTGAAAATAATTGATATTATCGTAAAGCAAACAGGGAGTTTGAGATTCAGCTTGATTAGATTACACATTTTTGTAATTCACTCTAATGGATATACGTCTTTGGTTTCAGATATATCAACATTTTCCTCTGCCATGAGTAACAATTCATGAGATAAAAATAAATAAAATTAGTTGGGCGGGACAGTTTGGATGAAAGACAGAGGATAGAATATATGATCTCTCAAAGATAAGCAGACAGAAAGAGGAAAACAATTGCATGCATTAGGCTAATTCAGTCATTAGACAAAAAACTACAAATACACACCATTCACTAACTAGCAAAGTTAAAACATTACTTTGTGTGTATTGCATTCAATATTCTTCATATGAATGCTGAGTGAACTAAATTAACTGTTAAACCTGGGCAGACTAAATCAAGAGTGTACAATATCTTACTTTACAGTCTTCATCATCTTCATCCTCCTGCTGGTTTGATAACAAGCTGGACAGAGCCTGTAGGTGCTGCAGCGATGATGCTCCAGCAAACTCCATTCAGAAGAAAAACAAGTTACTTTTGGCTTATTGTTTCTTAGAAAAAAGGCACGACCACTCCCTCGAAACAGAAACAGGTCAAATAGTTTAAGAAATATCCTTAAAAAAAGAGTTGAATATGTAAATTTAGCTTTTCCCATTAGTAATCGTGTGGACTGTTGCTTTTGTTGACGCTTGTTCCGTTTCCATGGAGACGACCGGGCTGCTATCAGGCTGCCATGGGAACAGTGACGTCAGATTCACGGAAGAGGAAATTCAATTTGTAGTTTTTTAGGGTGTTTTAAAACAAAACTCTTTATTGCGACAACAAAAATACTTGAAAAAATACCATCTCAAAGTGTTATTCATTATCAGAATATAATTACTGCTTTATTAACGTGTTGTATAACTTTATTATTACCTTTAAAGTATGCTGAATAGGAGCTAATATTCATATTTGGATAGGCTATGCTGTACATAACAGGTAGCCTAGTTACATCTATAACAATGCAGAATACAAGATCATGTTTAATATTTAAAAAGTTAATCTGCACAATAGCTGATAATTAAATGAAATTCAGCAAAAATATAAATATAGACTACAATACAACTAACAAATTGGACTCAAGAATAATCTCAGAATAACATTAGTCCCTATATTCGACCACTAAATACTTCTTAAAACAGTAAAATAATAACGTATATTGCAATGTGTATGCATCAAAAATAAAACCTGTCTAGCATACTTTGAAATAGCTTGACATTGATGTTGTTCTTTCAAGCATAATAAAAGCGTTTGTCACCAAACTACTGAAAGGTGGCGTTATTATCGCTTCGAGTATGAACCAGGTCCCTCCTGAGACACCGTAGAGATTGCATGGCACGCGGGGTTCATGTTGAAGGTGACAGGCAGTGCAATGCCGGGACCTGTGAGTTTATTATTCCCGACCCGCGTCTTTGCTGCCTCCCGTGACGGGGATCCACAGCCGACCGCCCTCTCACTCCTCCGGGACGAGCTGTCTCTGTACACCGCTCCTCCTCCTCTGCAGAAGCCCCGAAATGTGCAGCCTGAAGCGGGTCAGCTGGAGCAGAGTGTCGCCACCCTGCGGGAGTTCACGGAGCCATACACGGGGTGGTGCAAGGACACCTACAGCACAATTAAACCCAAAGTTCAAAGCGTGGTCCAGTGTGGGAGCGACACCTATGCCTATCTGAAGGACCCACCAAAGGACTTCTATCCCCGGGCAGGAGTAATCGGCTTCACCGGTGTCCTGGGGCTGTTCCTCGCCCGGGGGCTCCAGGATTAAAAGGTTTATGTTACCTGCGGGCCTGATGACGGTGAGCGCCTCCATGTATTAACCCGGAGAAAGCTGCGACCATCGTAAAGTCAGCCGGGAGACCTCCGTGTATGACCGGGCTGTGCAGAGCTACGCTGCCCTGGAGAAAATGGTGAATCCTCAAAGTAAATCTGGAAAAGACTCAGAAACTAAACCCTGAAGGGTCAAAGTGTGATTCTGCAACAACTCAGCAATACGAAATCACCCTGAGGATCCAAGTGTGATTCTGCAACAACTCAGCAATCAGAAATCACCCTGAGGATTGTAGATTGTAGTGATTATGCAATAAAAAAAAAATCAGCTTTTTCCTGATATTGTAGATTGACATTTGCTGCACAGACAGGCTGTAATCTGTGTGACTTCCTCATGCCCACTATTTGCACTAAGCTTCAATGGTAACTCAGGCCGGGCATGGCCTGTCACAAGGGCTTTGCAACTTGAATAATCAACATATGCTTCTGATTTGAATGTGTATTTATGTAGTGAAATATAAAAAATCTACTCTCTTGTTTGACGTCATCAGACATTTGTTGGTTACAGACCTTCATGCGTTACATACAATCATTCAAAAATAAAATTTACTTTTTTGAGAATGAGTTGCTTATTTTTTCAGGCGAACGTGTCAAACATTTCTTATAATATCCTCCTGGGACCCAGCCCACTGTAGTGCACATTTTGTTAACATGCATCTCCTTTTACTCTTTTGAGCTACTCTATCAATCTCTGATTTACTGTACAGAGGACATCCTGGTCTTTCCAGTGATATGTCATTGGTTAAAATCGCATGCTGGGAAGTTCCTCTTTCTTTTCATCCAAAATGGCTGGCATACCAAAAACAAAATGTTTTAGAAGCAGAAGTAAAATATTGTTGAATAATTGTTATTTTTAACATGAAAATCCTATATGTTCTTGTTTATTAACATGTGAGGAACTATATAATCAGTTCTGAAAGCAATTCAATAATTCAAGTTTTGAAATAACAGCTCTTTTATAAATGTCCATTCTAGTGGACGTCAGGACCATCTTCATGGACTTAATGACTCAATATTGTTGCAGGAGACGGAACTGAAGCAGACATTTTCTGTACCAGATAGTGCAGGGAGATTCAGATTTTGAGCTCTCAGATGATGAGAGAGATGAGGATTTAACACCTGGGATAGAAGAGGGTCAAGAAGAAGGGGGGGGAAAGATGCAGGAGGCTCCATGAGCGCACAGATACAGACAGACAGATAGGGACGAGCTGGAAAGACATGGCCCTCTGTGGGCCAAGAGTCATCAAGTATGCATAAAAACACAATTGCAACTTTAATTTCAAACATCATATATAACACTACAGGAGTTAGTCAGTAAATGTGAGCTACCTTATATATGGTTTCAAATATTACTTCAAAAATCCATTTCCATAAAAATCATTAGCCACGTGTGAGAAATCTAAATGTCTTATTTGTAATTACAGTATTACCAAAAACAATGCCTGGAAAAACCCAAAGGTGAACACTGTATGACTTAAACATATTTATTCATGTCTGCCCAAAAAAAAAAAAAAAAAAAAAAAAAATACAAAATTAAATATCACTTCAATGAAATCCCCTCAGAGCAGCACCAGCTTCTCATTCAGAGCGATCTGTGCTTGGGTGAGGTTAGACAGGTAGGTCACCATCAACAGGTCCTGCAACACATTAAACACATTCATTTTGTTATTACAAGTGTGTTCATGATGACATACAATTAGTACATTACCTAAATATGCTTATACTCCTTTAACAGTGTTACAAGAAGGTCACAGAGACAGACTCTGGGTGTTTCTCAATCGCGAGTAAAGCTGCTCCAGAGCCACTATTTCAAGCATACTACGTCATCGAGTGCCGCCGAAGTACTGTTCCAATCTCCAGCATACTTGGAAATCTACCGAGCCCGGCGTACTCCGTTTGGAGAAATATCGAGGCTGCACACGAGTAGACTCCGCGGTCTTAAAATCCCCACAATGCTTTGCGCACGGACCAATTTCCCCAAATCTGTGACGGAAAATGTAAGGCGGGGCCTCTCATATGACGCACACCTGCACACTTGCTAGCCTGTTGCACTCTTTGTTTTCCGAATGCCAGGAAGTATTCTTGACTCGCTTCTGAAGCAAGATGCTCGGCAGACATGTGCTACCAAGCAAGCGTACTCGCGATTGAGAAACACCCACAGTGTGCAGAACAAGAGTTATGACACTATAGTTAGGAGAGAACCAACAATGGAAAGCAAAGCCTTATTAAGTGCTTCCTGTAATCAATGTGAAAATGATGCTGCATAAAAACTGCTTACACCAAATCAATTGAGAATAAGAAAAGGCAGAAAGAGATGCACTAACCCAAATGAGGAAAAAGTGATTATAAAAACGGTTTATGTTAAGATTTATCTGTATGCAAATGAGGAGCACTCACGTTGATGTTGGAGTTGAGCATGTTCTCAAAGTCCTCGGCTGAGATGGTGGGCACCTTGTTGACGAGGTCCATCAGGAAGCGACCCACGCTGTTATCGGCCGCCACTTTGCCAGACTGAGACAGATCGAACAGCATTAGCTTTACACACACCACAAACTCCATTACTTTACAAATGATCTCTAGAGACATATATAGTGATACGAGTGTAGAATAGCTGGAATATGACAAGGAAAACTAACAGCAGAAGGTATTGCTTCATCATTTTGCACATACTCTAATCATTAGAGATGCACTGATTGAAGTTTTCGTGGCTGATTCCGTGTTTTTAAAGTCTAACCTGGAAAGTTACAGCATACAAAATAATTGTTCTTCTACAATTCTATTGTAGGTACATATTAAGACTGACTTACTTTAATACATAAATTATATATTTTTTCCAAAACAGCACCAAGTCTCAGGAACTTCTATCACTCTCTCTAAAATGCATCCAGGTGCAGAATATCTATATACCACATACATTTAAAGGAAAACTTGACAACTATGTATACAGGGTTTATAGACTTTTTCACCAATGATTTTCAATGACTTTTCCATGACTTCATGACCTTTACCTAATTTTCCATGACCAAAACAATTACTCTTTCTCAGCGGTACCACTGAAACATTTTAATTTTAACATGGAACAGGAAAATAAGGTCTGAAACATCTTGTGCCGATCTAAATTACTAACAAAGAATTACTAACAAAGCACTTATATACTAATAAAGGACTGGCTTATCTAAAACCAGTTGAGTAGCACTTGAAATGTTTTGGCTTTATGAAACCTGATGTACTAATATGATTCTGTTTTCTTCAAGTTTGTATCTTCCTGGTCGAATGCACTTATTGTAAGTCGCTTTGGATAAAAGCGTCAGCTAAATGCAATGTAATGTAAAACAAATCAAACAGTAGGCTTACTAGCTTCTACACGCTAAAGCAACTAAAATCTCTCACCAGCAAAATACCATTTTACGTTTCATTACTATACAGTATTTATTATCATTATAGTATTACTATTTCGGCGATTAGCTAAAATATAAATTATATTTGATGCAACTTTAGTTAGATTTCCATGACTTTTCCAAAACTTTGGGAAAAATATTGTTTTCCATAACTTTTCCAGGGCCTGGAATTAGCTTTTTGAATTTCCATGACTTTTCCAGGTTTTTAATGACAGTAAGAACCCTGTGTATAGGTCAGTGGTTTCTTTTTTAATACCCACACCCACAGACCTGCTATGAGAGCCAATCCACAATAGTATGTGTTAATCAACTATCGGATATACATGACAGTTATTCAGTTTTCACCTGTTGCTAATCATTTGGGGCATTTATACTAATCTTATCGTATTTGAGTCACATTATCGTTTCAATTGCTCTATTACTCACCAGCACATCATCAATGTATGCAAGCATGGTGGTCAGCATGTCCTGAACCCTGGCTGCAGAGCCCCCCACCTGGGACAGATCAGAGGTCAGCCCCTTGGTGCGACTTGGAAGAACACGAGTCCTCTGCAGAAGGTCCACTGGAAAACACACAAGGGATTATTAGAGTGCAGTACTGCAATTAAGAGCCAAAAAACCGGGACAGAGTTATAAATGTATTGGCAGGGGAAATAATTAACAGGCGCTATCCAAGTTGACAAACACCATTAAGTTGTTTTAGAGACAGCAATTCAAATATCACTATGAGAATTTGACGATCACAGATATTTAGTCAGACACAGATTTCTCAAAAAGTTATCTTCATTTATTGTTTGTAATCTTACCGCCTATCCTCTCAGTGTCAAAGTAGACATACTTGACAGTGAGCGGGGTGAACATCACCCCAACTGTCTTTCCTGGCACACCCATCTGCGCACTGTGTAAGAAATAGAGAAGCACAATTAAACAGGCACTTCATTTGTAGTTGATCACTCAAAAAAGGACCATGTACAGGGCTCAAACTAGAGATAAACCTTGAGCTCAGTGTTTTGAAACAGGATAATCAGCACACCTGACGTAGGCGCGGATGCTCATCTTGCTGCTCTGCAGGGCCGTATCCATGGTCAGGTGGATGGGGTTGGTGGCTTCACGGCTGTAGTACTCATGAATGAGCACCGAGTGTTCTGTGATGTCAAATCCTGTGGCATACCTGGGAGGACAGATTTAACACTGGTTAGAAAACGTATTTTATATTCCATCTTTGACATTTCTAATTTGATCAACCGACGCACCATCCGATGATGACCTCAGTGGGTGACACCCTCTTGTGGAGCTCGTACATGTTCTTAGCGAACTCCATGTCCACAGCAACCTGTTGACAAAAAGAGTTTCATTTGACTTATTGGCCCTTCTATAACAAAACAATGCAATATGAGGCAGCCATCTAAGTCTACATTTATTTGTAATAAGCCTAAAAGTAGGGTACATGTTAAATATTCTACCTTAAAGTGTTGGACAGCACAATAATGAATGTTCTTCTACATTTCTGCTACTGCTATATACGTCTATATATCTGTTGCTGTAGTAGAACATTCAAATGTATCTTTAATATTTTAAACGTTGTATTCTTTATCTATACTTTATTCCACCTTTTAAATATGTTAATGCGTGAACACATTGCTGCTGTAACAAAAGAACTTCCCAATATGGGATCAATAAAGTATCCATGTATACTGTGAGTAAATGAGTATAACAACATACCTCATCTTCAGATTCATTGTGAGGGACAGAGAAGCAGTTGGTCACTTCAATTGAGTGCTTGTCAACAGTACCTGAAAGAGAAATGTTGCATATGAGGCATTATTATTTAGCTAGCCGCCTTAGCCATGATAGCTACCAAACAAGAGGCTAAAATCATGACGAACCATCATCAACAACTACAATTAACTATTTTCAATATGTGTTACTACATACCATGGTAGTATATATGAATCAGAGAAGGTTAAATGACTTGGCAGATAGTTAATGTTCCCATCTGTGTATTGATAACAGCCAGCTGTTACAAGAGATGCTGCTAGTTAGCTGTGTTGGCTAACCAGATGTAGCTATATATTAACCATGGTAGTATATATTAATCAGAGAAGGTTAAATGACTTGGCAGATAGTTAATGTTCCCATCTGTGTATTGATAACAGCCAGCTGTTACAAGAGATGCTGCTAGTTAGCTGTATTGGCTAACCAGATGTAGCTAGCTACTACTGGATTGAAACCAGCTAACATGCGCTAGCAGGGATGCTAATCGCAGGGAAGCTAACATTAGCATGCTAGCCATCGCGTCTTTTATCAGACAGCGTCCCGCCCAACAAATAATTAAAGTCTCTACGTACCCAACAGGGTGCCGATACAACGACTCGCTCCCTCATTTCTCCGCTCGTAAGAGTCGCAGATAGAAGCGAGAACGACGGGGTGAATCTTCACCACTGGCCCGTACACCGACATGTTGGAAAAGGAGGACTGAAGCACCGGCTGCTGGGAACACATATACCGCCATCTGGAGGCCGGAGGACGGGGAGCTGGTGTTGAAAATGACCCTAATTATAATGACGATTCAATGTATCAGATATCATTAGAGATGGAAGAAGTACTCAGAGGATTTACTTAGGTAAAATAAGCAATACTGTTAAAAAGTGTGAAAATACTAAGTTAGAAGCACCATATATTTTAAACTATTACAATTATTGCTGCATGCATGTGTTCATTAGTTCAGTGTTGTACTTGATACAAGTGGGTTTTATTTGAACTACTTAACCTATAATTAGCTAGATAATGTATGTGATGATTTATATTTTGTATTAATAATCTAAATCTGCAAACTAACTTAATATCTAAAAATAAATGTAATGGAGTAAAAAGTATTTAAAGCAGCATAAACTAAAAACACTCAAGGAAAGTACAAGTACCTCAATTTATACTTAATGACAATGCTTGCGTAAACATACTTAGTTAAATGACACCACTGGATATCAGCATCATTATTACATCAGTTAAAAATAGCTGTATGAATCATTTTATTAGGTTTTAAGGGCTTGGCATAATACTGTCCATAGAAGAACCACACACATATTGAACCACTTATTTGGACAAAATAACAAAACACTAAGTACCTCAAATTGTTTATTTAGGTATACATACTTAGTTAAATTACACCACTGGATATCAGCATCATTATTAAATCAGTTAACATAGGTAGGTTTTTGGGCTTGGCATAACACTTTCCATAGAAGAACCACACAAATATGCATTGAACCACTTATTGGTAGAAAATAACAAAACATTATTACATAAAGAGCCTCTGGGACTTCTCCTCTCTGAGCTGCGTGCAGAGGTCTGTTTGCGGACCGTCTGCAGGCTGCGGCTCGGTAGGGGCTGGGCTGATGACAGCATCCTCCGCCGCTCAGCAGTCCACACCTGACCGCCTCCATCAGATGCACCGAGGATGGAGCTCTCTACGCTGCTGGGTTATCCTGTTGCCACCATTTCACACATCCACTGTCCGACACATGTCCTCCAGATGCCGTGATAGATTCACCTGGGTTCATTTAGCCGGTGGTTTTTCATTTTTATGATTCATTTTTCGCTCTTTTTCGTGTACTCGTCTCAGTGGTCGGATCGAGGTGCTCTCTTTGTTTTCCTGGAAAAAAGCGAACAGCAGTGGACTGAAGCTGCGTCGCTGGTAAACACCAGAAATGGGTGTCATTGAACCACTCTCGGTTCGCTTTTGGACCGGATTTTCGTTTTTCTTATGATAAATCATCTGCCCAATCCTGGTTCCTACAAGTTGCTACACTGAGCAGGTAAGGGTTTATTTATTATTAGCTGCTATTAATCCACGCTATTGGTTTCTGTAGCTTATTGGCTGGCTAACAGACACCCGTCAAGGCTATTTCTGATCCATCTGTCAGGCGTAGTGCGTCATCTTAATTGTCACCCTCCGTCTTCTCTTGCGTGCATCTCCAAATTTCCCAAATACACATCATGTCAGGCTAAAGTGGTGTAGAGTCGGGTTTACTGTGTTAAATGTCAGAGAAACATCATGTACACATACATATTTCAGTTTCAGATAATCATATGGGACTTATGTAAGGTATCTCAGCAGGCCTTAACCATCCACATTAAAACAGAGCAGGAGGTGCACACACACACACACACACACACGCGCGCGCGCGCACACACGCACACTAACCCCAAGGCGCTTTATGAAAACGTGCCCAAACAGGGAAAGTGTTGGAGTGCATATGTCACACTGCCTACAGCTATATATACAAATTGTACTTTTATGTGTTACTGACAAAACTATGCAATATCAACCTCAAACATTGTGATTTACTTCTTTATTTATATCTATATTTATTTGTGTGCTTATTTAGCATTTAAAAAGGGGGAAATTATTAAACAGGCAGAGACAGGAAGTCAGTTCTGTATGGAGAGCAACACAGAAGCTCAAGGCCTTGTTGTTTATGTAGACAAGATAATAGTATCCTAAGAGGAGTTAAAGGAGCCATGGATCTGAAAAGCTCCTGCAGTAATAGAGTATATTTCTCTTTAAAAATCATTGAAAGTGAATCAGAGCGACAGCACAACAGTTACTTAGTTAGAGGATTTAATTTGATCGTTGTGTTCTGCTCTTATGTTCCAGGTTTCAGTCAAGCAAACAAATGATCCAATCAATAGCCTCTGGACAGAGTCTGCCATAGGGAGGATATCAATAACACGCTAATACACTTGACACACACACACACACACACACACACACACACACACACACACACACACACACACACACACACACACCAAACACACACACACACACACACACACACACACACACCACACACACACCAAACACACACACACAAACACATACATAGGCCATGGCGTTGGAGGACTCGGTGTTCCCCTCCCTCCCGGATTCTCTTTCGCTCCCTGTGGAGGAGAAGGGGGAAGAGGACGATGTGGAGGTGGCCGCCGACGCCACCGGAGTCTTCAACCTATCGGAGGAGCTGGGCCAAATCGTCACCACAGAGACGCCATCAACACCTCCGCTTGCCAAGGTCAACAGGTCTTTCCAGGCCAAGTTGGCGGAGCGAAATGCCCAAGCCAATGAGCCCAGGAAGAAGGTCGTGCAGGAGAAGGAGAGGGGACGCTTCGGCTGGGGTGAGTGACTCTGCCTGGAAAATAAAATAAAAGATACATTTACAGGTCTTCCAAGTATTATTTGTCACTGAAAATATGTTAAGTTAAGAAAAGACAAATCCACATTACAGTTTTCAGTGAATCAAGGTTCAAGTGCTACAGCAAACGCAATGCAAATAGTACATTGGAGTAAAAGATAATGACAAACATTAAGATTATAACTGATAAACCGGGTACAGTGATGAGAGGACTGTTAGAAAAAAACCATTACAGATTAAGACAGAACAGAAACCACACTTGTTATGGATACGATTCATGATGAGGTAAATGTTTCAAGATTAGTTATGTCTTCAGTTGAGTCTTTCGAAAACTTAAGAAAGTTTGCTAGTATGTCATTATCGACCCCCTTTGGTTTCTAATTCACTCCTTCAGAGATAGGTAGCCGTTGACGGACTCAAGCCTCTGGATCAACGTCAATCAATGTCCTCTAATTGGATCGCGCTGCAGTGGTGCACCCATCAGCGGTTTTGACAGATTTGCACAACTTTTTTCATTAGTTTTCTCCAATAGTACTGCCCGTTGTTTGCTTCATTTTCTCTCCACTCTGCAGTAGATCTTTGTGAAAGACCTATGACTCTAAAGTCACTGCTAATTAAGGCATTGGACGCTTATTATTTTTGTGGGAGGATACCTTCCCCGGATCACAAAAATAAGATGAGCTTCTGATGAGATAAAGCTATAAAGCAGACCTTTGTAGAACAACAAGGGCAGATTTTCAGTTTGGTGTAACTTTGTAAAAGAGCAGTCAAAGGGCAAGGACTTCTTTTTTCTATGTATACAAACATATCTATGCAGGAAGTGTTTTTCATAGCAAGGGCAAGGCAAAGAAGGGCAAAACTATCCCTTTAAATCTTAATATATGGCAACAAATATAGATTAGTTTTGCATCCTTTATGTGTAGCAATATCAGTTGTGATGGGTGCACGACAGTAAAAAGGCCTCCTCCAAATAAAGAGCACCATCAGTTCCCTTTGAACAGTAAGGAGAGTCCAACGTTGTAGCTTTTCGTCTCTGAGTGTTTGATGGTGTTTCCTCTCCTTTATTTTCCTCACCTGTCTGTTTTGATTTCTGTTATTCAGCAGGCTGGCTTTCCTCTGAGTAATTCTGTCCCCTGGCACCTTCCTCTGTTTATCTTCAAATCTCTCTTATCCTTTCACTGCAGACAGAGTTGTATCTTCAAACAGTGAAATGTTTTCAGTAATGTAGAAAGGGAACTCTGTGTACATTTTTGAAGTATTGTGAAGGGCTTGAACGGGTTTCTTGGAACATAGGGTTATGAAACTGAACCCCAAAGCTCACATACATCCATTATGGCATTGGCTCAGTCAGTAGAGGCTTGGACTGTGAGCCGTAGGGTCGCCGGTTCAAGTCCCCGACCAGACCTAAATATGGAGTGTGGACTGGTACTTGGAAGAGGTCCCAGTTCACCTCCTGCCCTGCCGTGATGCCCTTGAGCAAGGCACCGGACATCCCCCTTCCCCCCTCACTCCCATTGCTCCCCGGGCGCTGTACAGTAGCTGCCCACTGCTCCTAGTACTAGACTCCTGGTACTAGGATGGGTTAAAAGCAGAGAACACATGTCACATGGTGCTGTGTGCTTTGCATGTGTGACCATTAAAAGAGGGTTTTTATCTATTGCTAACTGCTAACCACATTGTTTCTCCACCAGCCCGGGCTCGGCGTAAGAGACAGCGCTACGTGGAGAAGAACGGTCGCTGTAACGTGTCGCACGGTAACATGCGGGAGACTTACCGCTACCTGACCGACATCTTCACCACGCTGGTGGACCTCAACTGGCGCTCCTCGCTCGTCGTCTTCGTCATGGCCTACGCCGTCACGTGGCTCTTCTTCGGGGCCATCTGGTACCTCATAGCCTATTTAAGGTAAGATATTGGAGACACAGGTTGGAAGAAGCACATTTCAATTGTTATTTTTTTTATCCTGAGCCATAGAGGAGTATGTAGAAAGTCTTTCTAGTTAATCAAAAGTCATATAGCTCAAAATTACAATAGTATTTGCTTGACTTTAACATTTGAATCTTATCAAATGTATGACCAAAAACAGGGCTTTCCTTATCTGTGTTCTTTCTGCTTTTCTCCCAATCCTCCTGCTTGTTACCTAAATGAATGGTTTGACATTTTATTTGCCTTTTTGCTTCCTATCCAAGAGTTAGAAAATACCACTCTTCATGTAGGAAAGATACATATACAGCCATGGTAATTGTTAGTCTAGCTTTATTTCATTCAAAAAACGAATTGTTAAATGAATGATTGATGAGTTTTCATTTTTTAATTCCAGTCGTGCTTGTAGTAAGACTATTTTGCAGACACAGGCTTGCCGTTTCTAGTCTTCATGCTAAGCTAAGCTAACGTCTCCTAGATGTAGCTTGATACCTAATGAATGGATATAAGAGCGGTATTAATCTTTTCATCAAAATCTCGTCAAGAAAGCAAATATTTAATGATATTCCACAAAATGTCCTTTAATGCAATTATCACGAGGCAACACTCCCTTTTTAATTGCTGAAAGATGGAGGGTGATGCTGAGAGAGTGATCAGTATTGCAAGATATTCTGCAACGCAGGCAAAAAACCCCCCATTTTTCAGCCAAAAAGCAGATGACAAAGCAGTATTAATATTACAGTGTATTTCATCATGATGTGTTACCTCCTCCCTAGATGTGTCTGCTGGATCCTCGCTCTAATTAGCTAACGTATCCGTCTCGTAAAATCGCGACCTCCTCATATCAATTACAGGCCACCTTAAGCCGTGCCAGAGAGCTGTCGCTGTTACTGCTATTCCTCGGTCACCAACACAGGTCAATAAAAGTCGTATTTTATATAAATTCCCTAACACCACTTTCATTAATGAGCCCTCCCTCTCTGGCTGGAGCTGTGTTAATAAGACACATTAGCGAGTAGTTTGAGAGAAAATCTGCAGACTCTCGGTGGTGATCCCAGCAGAGGGAAGATGCTGCGTGTCATGAAATATGATATGATATATGATGGAAGAAGTAGGTTTTTGCAGCATCAACAAAAAGTGACAGCATAAAAGTCTAGTTAATATGAGGATGAGTCCTTATTCATTACAGGAAGGAGCTGAAAGGTGATTGTAAATATAAAGTGAGAGACAAGTCGTCATATTTCTGCAATTCTGTTCTAACAATATAAATCTTCACGCTCTCTATTTTTTACCTCTTGACACCCGCTTTGTCACCCTCCCCACTTCCCTTCTCTCACTCCTTTCTATCCTCACAAAGGGGGGATCTGGACCATCTGGAGGATGATACGTGGACGCCGTGCGTCCACAACGTCAACAGCTTCATCTCCGCCTTCCTCTTCTCCATCGAGACGGAGACCACCATCGGATACGGCCACCGCGTCATCACAGACAAGTGTCCAGTCGGCACCATGCTGCTGCTGCTGCAGGCCATCCTGGGGTCCATGGTCAACGCCTTCATGGTGAGCCAGAGAGGGGAAATCATGGACAGAAAGGATTATCAATGAGTAGCAAATATGATCAGATTATATATGCATTGTGATTAATATTAATGATAAAGACCATTATTGTGTTCATTTAAGGACACTATAATGTTTTTTACCTTATACATTTTACCCAGGTATTAGATTTTGAGGCTATTAAGCTTGACATCCGAGTTGCGCTAGACTTTTTCGCTTTTTCGGACAGGATCGTAAAATGTCCGTCAAAATCCAGTATGACCCGTCGGCCTTTACACAACTCTAACGAGGGGGGGGAGACAAAGCACGCTAATGAACTGTCAACGGGGGGGGGGGGGGGGGGACACACGCCGTGTTATTCATGCCCACTGCACCTCGCGGGAGCGCGCACAGCGTAAAGCCAAAACTCACAGACATTTCAATGATTTGTACGGCTAAGTTCGGTTTGGAAACGGTATCATTTCCTTTTTGGCGAGCATGCATAACACGGCATAACACCGGAGCCTCGCTGCGGGGAAGCTTTGGCGCTGTTCCGAGTTTGTTCTAATCTGACAAAATGACGGACTGCTTTCAGATTTTTCCGTCATTGTTAAAAAAAAATCAAATGTTTAATATTTTGTTATGAAACCTAAGGGCATGATCTTTAAAAACATGTCTTTGCCATACTGACACTGAACTTTTTGCTGACCCTAGTGAAGACTGATCTAATACGCAGATGTTTGTCTACACATAGCCTGCTTTAACACAGATTAAAGCAGGCTATGCTGTTGTTTTTTATTCTCTGTCAAAGCGTCTTTGAGTTTTTAGAAAAGCGCTATACAAGTCTCATGTATTATTATTATTATTATTATTATTATTATTATTATTATTATTATTATTATTATTATTATTATTATTAAAGGAAACTAAAAAGCGTTCAAATCACATTTTAGATTCTTATTTAATGTTCAAATGATAAAATGTCATTTGGGAAAAACCCACCTTTCTGAAATGCCTGGTAATAAGATAAAACAAATGTTAAAACGGTTTGATCAGAGTCTGTTAGATTCGAGGGAGGCCTCCTGTTAGTTCATGCAGACAAAATGACACCAATTGGGGGCAGATGGTGGGCCTCCTGATAAAGAATATTTACTTGGAAAGTGCTGACAGAGCTCGATGTTTTCCAAGTAGTAAGCACTCTTTTGATGAGGATGAATCCACACACAGAATCATGTTTATGCACGCTTGCAATCTGGAAAGATGCCATATTAGCACTGAGCTGTTTTACTATTCATATTAAAAAATATTGATTCTGAGGTTAATTCAAGTGTCACTACTCTCTTTTAACGCTGAGAACTAGAAATAGTCAGCTCTTCTTTTAAATATGGACGAGCGTTTGTAATCAGCACTCATTTAGTCATTTTGGAAAAACTAGGGATGCCTTTGTTTTTACAATAATCCTCAGTTTTTCTTCCAGTTATTTGAGTGTGTTGCCTCCCCCTCCTCCTCTCTGTGCAGGTGGGCTGTATGTTTGTGAAGATCTCGCAGCCCAACAAGCGAGCGGAGACTCTGGTGTTCTCCAAACACGCCGTCATCTCTCTGAGAGACGACAAGCTCTGCCTGATGTTCAGGGTGGGCGACCTGCGCAGCTCCCACATCGTAGGGCCAACATGAGGGCCAAACTCATCAAGTCCAAACAGACCCAGGAGGGTGAGGCTGCAAGAGAATTAACTATAATAAAGTCACATTTACTCTCTACTAATAAGGGCTGTAATGACAGTTTAACGCTATATTTATATTCAAGTCAAAGTCAACTTTATTGTCATCTTTCAGTTTGTGTGTACAGACAGAGAGATCGAGAAATACCGTTTCCCACAATCCCAAATACAAAAATACAAATATATATAAAAATATGTATATCCATATAAACACAACCAACAGACACATTTATACATATGCACACATTAAAGGTGGGGTAGGTAAGTTTGAGAAACCGGCTCGAGATACACTTTTTGTTATATTCCATGGAATGCTCTTAACATCCCGATAGCAATGAATATTTTAAGTGCTTTGACAAAAAATCCATTAAAAAATGTCATCTGTGGAAGCTGTAGTACTTTAAAAAGCACGACCAATCATTTTAGCCGGCCCGGCTAAAATAACTGGATGGCCTACCTGCCTGTCAGCCTTCCATCTGTGCACAAACTTATCTCGTGCCCTCATTGGTCATGTGCACGTTCGTGTGTGTTGGAGGCGGGGCTCTGTAAGGAAGTGGCAGATTTTCTCCGGTTGTGTATTTTCAAATTCTAGCGATCTCGAGACGGTTTCTCAAACTTACCTACCCCACCTTTAAGACATCAATAAAAGCACAACAATCAATATATACAAATAACAGTCACTTCAATATCTTTGGGTTATATATATTGTTGAAATTCTCCTTCCTAATCTCTATGTTTTCACTTGGTTCTTCTGTAAAGTTGCAGATACAGTTTAGCCTACTCCTATATTATCATTGTCCTATGTTTTACAGTATTTCTTTAATTAGTGTTGGCTATGAGGATTGTTTCTGATTTAGTGATATAAACATTTCTAAACTAACTCCATAGTGTTTAAATGTATTGGGAAAAAAAAGGTGTACTTATCACCCAAACTTAAAACATGTGACACACATATATTTTACATTTTTACCTCAAGAATTTATCTGCTTTATTCCATATTTACAGGCTTCTCAGAAAAAACATTTTCACTGTGGTAAAAAAGACTGAGTCAACCGAGTTGAATACCTGTGTTAACAGCGACATCAATTACATTTATATTCCAAAAATTACTTTTTTATAAGGATGATAATGTCACAAAAGTAGATGAAAGGCAATCAAAGCTTCATTTAAAAACCTTAATAAAAGCTTTGAGTGCAAGATGATATAGATTACTATGACTACTACAAAAGCTAATGCTACTTCTGACAATACAACAGACGTGTGAAACTACTATCTAATTATACAACTCGTAAAAAGATATGTGTACTTCCTTTGAGTGCATTTCAAAATCATAATTATTCCCCTTTCACCTAAGCAGATTTGATATTAACCGGCTTTTTGATGATCCAGATTTAGAGAGCTGCCTGTGGTTATGCTGATCTTAACTTATTGATAAAGAGAGAAACCCTAATCCCTTCCTTTCCTTCTCCTCACCTCCGGTTGTCTCCTCCAGGTGAGTTCATCCCTCTGGACCAGACGGACATCAGCGTGGGCTTTGAGACGGGCGATGATCGTCTCTTCCTGGTCTCTCCGCTGGTCATCTCCCATGAGATCGACTCAAATTCCCCGTTCTGGGACATGTCTCAGTCCCAGCTGCAGAAGGAGGACTTCGAGATCGTGGTCATCCTGGAGGGAATGGTGGAGGCTACCGGTGAGGAATGGGATAAAAATAGTTATGAAGTAATAGGAACGCAAACGGCATAATCCATCTGTCCTTGGGTTAACCATTTTCCCTTAAAGGGGTCCTATTCTGCTGATGTTCAGGTTCATATCAGTATGTAGTGTCTCTACTGGGACGTGTCTCCTTGCTTTAATGTTCAAAAAGCTCTTTATTTTTCTCATACTGCCTGTGCTGCAGCACCTCTTTTCACCCTCTGTCTGAAACCAGAGCCCAGTCTGCTCTGATTGGTTAGCTGGCCGGCTCTGTTGTGATTGGTCAACCGCTTAGAGATGTCCCGCCTCTTAGCCTATCACGTACAATGTGTTGGAGTGCAAGCCAAAAGAAGCGAGAGTGTTACATAGTGATGTCACTGTGTTACTGAAGTAAACAAAGGAAAAGGAAAATGAGGTAAACAGAAACATTTCGTTGTAAAAATGACTGCGATGTAAATGAACACTAAAAATTGAAGAAAAAATAATACATTGAGCTGATAATGATAGGACAATCCATATAACTATCACCATTAACCCTTTTTTGTATTACTCATGGGTTTAATATGAGTGTTAGATATTTAAAATATAATATCATATTCTAAATTACAAATAGCATTGTTATGTAGGGGAAATAATGTTAAATGCAAGTTAATATAACTGTTAAATTGTAACAGTCTCTTTGTTCTAAATGCATGTTCGGCTAGTAGAGCATTAGGGAATTCCTCTTGTAGATGCATACAGCTGTCTGATATTACTGTACCACCATCACTGTTTTACAGAAAGCAAACCCCGTCCAAAGCTGTCCATTAGAACAATTAAATGACCCCTTCCAGGATGTCTGAGTTTATATCTAAAGAAACGTCTTTTTAAAACCTCGATATGTCTCTTCAGGCTTTCGGGAAGCTTGAGAGCCTGATGTTGTTGGGGAATATACTTATACATATGTTTAGATAATGGTATATGTGATTACGTTATATTAAAGGAAATACAACTGGATAGTAATCACTGGAGCAAGCGTTCTCCTGTGGTGTATTATTCTGGTCTCATACTGTATTTTCCCATCACTCATCCCATTTAAAATCTCTGTGTAAGGAGGAGATTAAAAAGTGTTACAGCCAGAGGAACTATCCACATCCCAACACCAGCGAGTGTGCGAGTGTGTGTGTGTGTGTGTGTGTGTGTGTGTGTGTGTGTGTGTGTGTGTGTGTGTGTGTGTGTGTTGTGTGTGTGTGTGTGTGTGTGTGTGTGTGTGTGTGTGTGTGTGTGTGTGTGTGTGTGTGTGTGTGTGTGTGTGTGTGTGTGTGTGTGTGTGTCACAGTAAATACTCATCTGCCCCTGAGCAAGACACTGACCCCCTTCTGAACCATCTCACTGTTAGTCACACTTTGTTTTGGATTCAAACACAACTCAGTTTTCATTACTAAAGCCCCACAGGCTATAGAGTTTTTTTTAAAAGACACCATTTATTAAAACTTTAAGGAGGTCTGGATTCAAAGAATATTGATTGGTAAAATCATTTACCGCAGCTGGGCTACGAGTTATCTCTGCTCATAGATCTCCTCAACGATTACACATTCAAAAGCAGAGATACAGAGGGCTGAAACTATCAATTATTTTCATTCAATTTATTATGACGATTATCTTCTACCAATTTTACAAAATGACTGAACACAGTAAAACATGTCCATCCCGTTAATCAAAGACCCCTTGCTTTGACAGCCCAAAACTTTTACATAAAAATACAGGGACAGCAAGAAAAGTCAATATTTAAGAACAGCATTTTCTGGCGTTTTTGCACGAAAATGTTCTTTCTTTTATTTATTAATCAATAATAAAAATATTTGACTTTTCTCTATCAGCTAACCAAGTTGTTGGCTACTCATTGCAGCTCTAGAGTTTAACGCCTATGTTATATTTATGATTGTATTTAATGTTGTTGGATAGTGACAAACGTCAACTATAAACAGAGTCAGAAACAAATCAGGAAGTTACAATGGAAGATTTAGATGGCCTGTGTTTATCTCTTTTTATAGTTTCCCCTTCTCATATTGTCTTATGTCCAATTCATTCTGAGACTTAACTGTTCCTCACTTTCTGGCAGGAACTCAGAGCATCAGAGCATCAGAGCTATTCATAATGCGTCTTCCACGAGGTAAAGGTAGAGTCTCTGCCTACTCCAAATATTGATTTTCTGAGTCAGAGTGCGGCGCAGAGTAACAAAGAAGGAGCCGACACTATAGAATATTCATATTGAGATTAAATTAATTATCTCTTGGTGTGTTTGACTTTGACTTTCTGCTCTGAGTGTTGCCCTGTTCCTTCATCGTATGAAACACAAGGGTCTGAATGAGTCATAAGCATTAGTGAATGTATGTACTCATCAGTATGCTGGTCTCTGTGCAGGCATGACGTGCCAGGCGAGGAGCTCCTACCTAGCGGACGAGGTGATGTGGGGTCACAGGTTCAGCCCCATGATGCTGCTGGCAGAGGGCTTCTTCGACATCGACTACGGAGCCTTTCATCACACCTTTGAGGTAACGTCTTTCAAAACTGGGGACAAACTACGGGAGGGTCTATCAAAACTTTAAGAGATTCAGATCATTAACAGCAGCTGGGCTACGAGTTCTCTCATACATACCGTCAGAGTTTACATTTTGAGAAGCATGTGAATTAAGTCTGCAATTAACCATTATTTTCATTATTTATTTACCTACTGGATATCTTCTACATTAACCAATTTAAAGTGGACCTATCATGCTATATTTGAATAATATAGTGTAGGACCATACCTATATAAGGCATATTTATACATTTTCTTTTTCAAAATACCAAACAGATCATGCATTTTAGCCATGCCTCATTTTGCTCAATTTGACATTTTTTAGCTCTGTTTTAGCAAGGGCAGATTATGTGAGAACAGCACCATCTACAGGCCTGGCATATGTACTACAGCGTCTCCAGCGCTTTCGAACGGCAATGGCCGTGGCTGTCTCCTCCTGATTGGTGGAGTTGGCCCAATAGCCGTAGCGCCACCGTCCTCACGTCAGGACAGTGTTCAAATCTGGATCAGTTTTTATCAGATCCGTTGCAGCCCCTTTTTTAGAGATTTGGGTATGGAGGAAAATAGAGAGGGTTGTGTTTTCTGACACTTGGTGAGTTCCCTGGAACACCGGGGACACATATTCATGTATAAAAGACGTACAAAAGTGCATTTTGCATGATAGGTCCCCTTTAAGTTATCAAAATGACAGAAAACAGTAAAAAATGGCCATCCCGTTTACTCAAAGTCCAAGGTAATGTCTTTAAATGTCTTGCTTTGTTATTCCAAAACCCAAATATATAATCTCACAGAGAAAGCAAGACAAGTCAATTTTTAAGAGCAGCATTTTCTGGCGGTTTTGCACGAAAATGTACTTTTTTAGTGAAGTGCCCTACTGTCTAAGAACCACAACTATAAACAGAGTCTGTCAAGGAGTTTTTTCAACATCCTTTTTAAGAATCAAAGGTTTTTTTTATATATGCACAAAAGCTACAATGAGTTATTGGCTGTGAACATCTAAAGTCCAGGAAGTAGGAAGTAAAGTAGCGCAAGTGATACAATGGTGCTAGTAAAATGCAGGAATGAGTAAGCTACGTACATATAAGATTGTATAAGATCAAATACTTAGTAAGTCAAGTCAAAATAATAATAATAATAATCCTTATATTTATTATAGCGCTTTATCAATGACTCAAAGCGCTTTACAGATACACATTACACATACAGATCATACATACATGTAATGGTCTACTGTGGACAATACCCACAGGAGCAAGTTCAGGTGAAGTGTCTTGCCCAAGGACACAACGGCTTTACAGACGCAGCGGCGGCGGGTTTCACCCCCTTGATCTGGTGATCATTGCACAGCGCACTGCGCCACACCGGCCATCTTCACACCTCGAAAATCCTCCTTCAACACTCGTTTGCTGTTAAAAAAAAGCAATGCCTGATATTTTCATGTAAGATAGTGTCGTCACATTGGATTTTGTAGCTAAAATGGCTTCCAAACATTTTTTTAAAACAAATTTTCCCTACTTTTTAAACATTTTCTCAGAAAACGCAATCGTTCTCGTCAGTAAGAAAATCTGGAACAAGTCGAGCTGTTATCCCTATTCCTGTCTCCACCTACATGTAGTGTCTAACCGACAGCTGAATTCTCACGCTTGGTCTCTTGAGGTTGATGAAATGCATGCTGGGAAATGCAGGAAGTCGAACTGAAGCATTTATTTCATGTTTATTTTGGTAGGGACAAGCACAGCATGGACCAACGCCACACAGCAGAGCTTTTATAACTTATGCCTATCCAGTTATACAATAAGAAGACACTTAACATATAATAAAAAGCTCCTGATCACACACAACTAAATATTTGATGTCGTACACGCAAACTGAAAACCTCTTTCTACTGCACCTTTGCTAAAACATTTTTTTTTTTTTACTTCTGTTTGTAACACTCAGAAAGGTTTGTCTTATTTTGTAGCCCTTACAATTGTTGTTGGCGTATTGATAGCCAATGTACCTGCACGATTCTTGCTATTTGGAGTTTGTCTGGCGGGACATTGCACATTGTAAGTCACTTTGGGTAATAACGTCAGCTAAATAAAAATGTCATGTAAAGAGTGGTGCAGTGACGAGTCCTAAAACCCGGAAGTGAGTTATCATTTTACCACTTCCGGTTCCCTCGTCTCAGAGTCAACGGGTTTTTTGAAGATGTTTGAAAATAGCTGGAAATAAGGTCTGTGGTTGACTTAAGAGACGGATCATGTTTTGTTCTACGACATTAAATACATCAGCAGTGACCCCACTGGTGATTCTTGAAGAGTTGACGTGTCTGAAATACGATGGTTGTTAACAAGTGGCTGAATAGGACTACAGAAGTTGTCGAGGCCGTTGTACGTCATTACACCGAACACGTAAATACTCCCGCTAAGTTTGTTGTTCCCCGTGTTCTGCTTGAAAGCAAGTACCTGCCTCCTGCAAACTGTTAAAACAAACGCTTTCAACTTGTACAATTTTGAATCTGTATTTTTGAATATCGATCTTAAATTGGCGTGACGTTGAAGTTGTGCGACCCTGCTGTACCTGGCTGTAGTTCGTTTATAGCATAACGTTAGCATTTTGCTTCTGGCGATTAGATTTATTATTCGAACATTATAAAAGTAGGGTAGACATGTGGAGATTATCCGGCTGAACAAAACGTGCATTTATCATACAGGTTCGTTTTCCACAGATCTCATTTTTTTACAATATTCCCAAAACCCTTTTTTTGTCCAGGGAACCCATGCGCAGCTTACTTCCGGGTCGGCCTACACAAATACGTCATCACTCCAATGTAACTGGGGATGAGGCTTTCTCTTGCCATATTTGCAATACTAATATCTTCATCCCCTCTCCTAAGGTGACCACGCCCTCCTGTTCGGCACGAGATATCTCATTGGCTGCAGCCAGACTGGACGCTCACCTGTACTGGTCCATCTCCAGCAGGCTGGACGAGGAAGCCAACTCTGACCAATGAGGCGTCCAGGCAGCCGGACAGCGTCTCGGCCAATAGCAAAGCAGGAGAGCCCACCTTCATCGTGGGGGAGATGACGGACATCCAGGAGCAACGGGACAGGGCGAGCTGAACGGCAGCGTCGCCACCATCCAATCAGAATCAGAGGCCTAGAATAGACAATGTTTACAAAGACCTGAAGTATATCACCACCTCACCACTTTTAGTGTTTGCAAATCTTTTCTTTCCAGGGGAATGAGTAGTTTCATTAGGCCTAGTTCTATGGTATATGCCATATCTTATGTTACCATATGAAGGAGTTTCTTTCTTGATATTCTTTTGTCTTTTATTTCTATGTTGATCTTTGTTACAAGTGTACTGTATGTGTGCTATCTTTTTCTTTTCTTTTTTTCTCCGATTTGTTGTGTTAGATCACCCTTGCCTATATCTACATTTTAATGACAATACTATGCTTTAGGTAGGGTCAACAACAGTATAACGTGTGGACCATGGCAGAATGTGGAACAAGATAAGAAGGGGGTTGTTTGTGCAGAGTCACGAAAGTGGATTGTTCACATTTAAAATAGGTACGGTGCATAGACGCTTTAATTTCACCTGTGCATGAATATCACTAGATGATATAGAAGGATAGACTGAAATTGTTGTAACCTCAAATCTCTTTAGAAATGCAAAGATTGTTCGAAAATGTATTGTACATCAATCAGGTGTTTACAGGGTGGGAAAGTAACACCAGCCCACCACTGCTGGTATGTTAGGAACTCCATTTGGCCCCAAACCCTCTTGTGGTGCTAGAAAAAGTTTTAAATATCGATTTGGCTGACAAAAGATTATAAAAGTGGCCAGACAACAAAGCTGGTTTCCTGCCCTGGGTGTAAACAAGTTATTGTCTTATATAGGCCCAGAGTATTATGTTATTTGTTTTTGAGTACCTTGAAGAGATACTTCACCCCGAAAAATATCATTTGTACATCAATTATTCACCCAAAAGGAAACAGTTTTCTCACATGGTGAACGAAGGATCCAAAATGTATGATAAATTGAGGTCTTCAACACTCAAACAACATATGCAGTTTAATCTAAGTCTAATTGATTCAGTCGTATGCTCACGTCTTCCTAAACACATGCATTTCACTAAAAACCTTAAACAAATTTAGCGCAGACATGCAACTTCTAAAGTGTTTCAAATATAACGATTTTAGAGAAAATGCTGGGAATGTTTGGGGAAAAAGTGTAGTGTACGACTGGACAAATAAACTCCACAGGTTGGGTGAGTTTCTTAACAAATGTTCAGATAATGTTATTTAACGCAGAACAAATTCAATTCAATTCATTGAGATTTTTCTCTCCGTTTTTGGATTCTTTATATTGGTAGTTAATTGATACACAAATGATCTCTTTTGGGATGAAGCGTTCAATTATCACCAGGCTGATTAACCACTAAAAATGCCTAACAGTGATGTCACTGAGTCCTGGAGTACACCTGTACTTCACATCAGTAGGGTGAGAAATTAAACTACTGGGAAAAACAGATTTAAGTTACTATTTAATGACATTTGCTGACTTTCCTATCTGCACTCTCCCATCATGGTGACTAGGGGTATCTATCTAAAACCAGGTGAACACTCAGAGTGTCTGTGGCTTCGTTTCACATACGGCGTGTGTAGCACAAGGATTATCTGTGTTCTGTTCCCAGCCAAGTAGAAATTAAAAAGCACAACAGTGTCCTGCTCAGTCCGGCCCAAACTCCTGCTTCTGCTGCTGTGTATATATGTGGCCATTTTTACTTGGTGTTTTTAATATGTAATATAACATATGAATTATAATTAATAAACTGCATTATATTCCAGAAACAACTGTCCCACGTGCGTCATTTTCTGAGATTGCATGTTCAGAAAAGAAAACTGAAGTGTTTCTGAAAATAGGCCTGCACGTAAATTATATCACAGAAGTGAATGGAGTAGTGGTACTGCAGTGTAACAACATAAAATCAGTGTTGGCATGGAGCCAGGTACATTTAATCATGCACTCTAATAACACTTCACTTGGGTATTTCCAATTTATGCTGCTATAGTTCTACCTCATCACATTTCAGAGGGAAATACACATTTTACTCCACTTCATTTAACATAAAGCTATATTACTAGTACCTTTAAAACAACTTAGATTAAGATTGTACACACATTATACCAACATCCTATTAGGTGTTGGGTTGTATCTTGTTAAACTATTACTTTAACAGTAGATATAGTAGTTAAAATTAGCTTCCCATCCATTAAAATAAGCTGTAATGAAAACATGATATATTGATATAAAATCGATCTGGCCATTTTCCTGATGGTAATGGATTATATTTACATGGAGTGCTACTATTGTAAAACGCCCTGATACACTTCTTATATCTCAGTATGAGTTATATTAAATCAATTATTAGACACTGAGAGGAAACAAACTGATGAGTCAAGTTGCAAATATTACTTTTCAATTCTCAAGGAACCTAAAAAAGGTGTATCTCCTGAACCTTCACATAATCTGATGTCATGTTGTACAGTACATACTAGGGATGTAACGATATATCAAATATCGTGATATCACGGTAAATAAATGTCTCAATACCGTCGTGAGACTGACAAAATCTACCGCGATTTTTTTAATTTTTGAAAAAGATTTTATTTTTTTATTTTTTTAAAGATTTTATTTGTTTTAAACCTTTATTTAACCAGATGGTCCCATTGAGATCATCGATCTCTTTTTCAAGGGAGACCTGTCCAACATGGCAGCAAGTAGGTTACAACATGAACATAAAACAACAGATAACACAAAGGACCTCGTATTTACAGGGCTACATTTACATAGAGACATTGACAAAGTACCAACAGTATATTTATATCTCGCCCTGTCAATAAGCCTCACCTTCTTGGCAAAAACTGTATTGTTTTTGAAGTGGTGGAGAGACAATGCACAGTTTTACCCACTGCTCTCACCCATGGCCAAAGCATATCTCTCTGTCCCAGCACATCAGTACCAAGCAAGAGAGTTTTTTCCACAGCAGGGGATATTGTAAACGCCCAAACATCCCAGCTTCTACCTGGAAATGTGGGCATGCTCATATTCCTAAAAACCTGTCTGATGATGCTGAGTGAGTGAGCTTGAGTTGAGTTACTTGAAAAACTAAAGTGAAACTTGATTTATTCTATTGCAGGGTCTGATTATTATATTGTTGACACTTTAAAATACTACTATCCTACTAAAATGCTGTACAAATCAGATGTATTATTTAATAAAGAAAACAAATTCAAGTAAAAAAAAAAAGTGAGAAAATTCACATTTTTTTTTCCCTTTATTTTTCAATAACGCGATAAATATCGTACCGTGGACTTTTTATCGTGATATTATCGTACCGTGAGTTTTTTGGTATCGTTACATCCCTAGTACATACATATGATAAGTGAGTGGTGCTGAATGAAGTATTTCGATCATTTAAACATACAGCAGTTTGGCCACAAAATGTACTTTTAGTATCAAAACTAGAAGTATTTTTTTCACAAGGGTCAGTGTTGGATACTGTTGGGGAATAATTTCCCTTGCGTGTTCACCCTCTGACGCAGATGCCCAGCCTTGAGCAGCCGTTATCTACCTTAAGGAGGGGCTGCCCAAGCATGTTGTTGTTGTTACCAGTTTATGACCGGGCAACTGTCGGTCAGAGATAGTTATTGTTGTGGGACACCTGGAACACATCCTTCTCGGGGTGTAGATGACCCCGAGCCATAAGCGACAACACATGTGATTCAGTGTCCCTCAGCTGTTAGTCTATCTATTGAGGAATGTTAATTATTACACTCTGACTAGTTAAAACCTCGAGCTACAGGAGGGGTCTTCAGAATTGGTTGTGGCATCTCTACCGTGTGGTCAACCGTGGCCTGTGACATATCTTGTGAATTTCCGGCCGAAGCTCCAAATAAACCGTTAGTGTTTAGCCATCAAAGCTCCAGCTCTCCATCGTGTCTCTCTTTGAGTCCTGACTCCAATTGCTTCCAGAGGTTTCCGTCACAGATACTTATATTATTAGACCATAATTATTAAAGCAGGTAAGCATAAGCACAATAGCAATGTTGTAGTTGTTGGAGATAATTGTACTAATTTGCACAGGTAGTTGCATCTATTACAATGTTACACTTTTAAAAACTGAAAATTACAAGTAACTAATAGCTGTTGCTGTTGGTGAAAAGCACAATATCTATGTAGTGTAAAAGTACAAAGTAGCATAACATGTAAAATAGTCAAGTATAATAAAAGTACCTCAGAATTGTACTCGAGTACAGTACGTGCGTAATATGTACTTAGTTACTTTCCATCATTGTAGTAACCTCCATGTATCTCGAAAACAACCCCGCATTTTTATAATTTATCCCTTGATCTATCAGTATTAAAATGTGTGATAATTTGCTCAGATCCAAGCTCAAGTTGCCTTACTGTGACAATCAATTAACGATTAAATAGATAGATACTTTATACCTTATTTATGTATCCAATGTTGGGAAATAGTAGTCACAGCTGCATTTTTGACAGTCATTGTGCAAGAATTACATGACTCAAAAATATAATAAAAAAAACATTAAACCAAATATACACATTTTCACATTAGAAAATACATCTATTCAGAAGAGTATCTAAGAATACACACTATAAAATATACAGAATAAATTAGAGTACTCTCTATATACCAATAAAGGGATATAAACATATAAACAGTGTACTCCTAACACTAGGATGGGTCAAATGCAGAGAAACATTTCGTTACATAGTACCTGTACTATGTAATGACAATAAAGTGAAAGAAAAAAAAAAATATATACATTAAAAAGTCTTGCACAGCTGCTTTTGATTAAAAGTAAATATATCCTGTGAGGTAGTGTGAGTAGGCTACACTATGTATGTACAGTATGTGCAAATTGTTCATGATTATAGAAAGGGAGAAGCTAAACAAACTATGGAGCCGTTAGAACTCAGTGATTGTATACTATTCAACTAAAGACCCACATTGAACATATTGAAGCCCTGCAGTACGATGTGTCTCCTCTGAAGCTCCGGGCTGGATGTCAGCACCAGGAGCAGTCAGCATATTGGGTTACTAGGCAGAAAGGTTGCTTAAAAAAAGAAAAAAAAGGAAAGTATTTCTCTGTCTTGGCTGCTAGGTGGCGATAAAGATCCCGTGCTTCCTCCCTGCAGCCAGCCACACAGCCCTATTGGTGTGAAATGAGATGGGGTCCCCATCTCAGCTGTCTCCTAGGCAACCAGGGCTGGGGACAGGGAGAGGGCAGAGTGTGTGTTGGTGTGTGTGTGTTGATGTGAATGTGTGTGTGTTAATGTGTGTTTGAAG